TCGAAGTAAACTTACTGCCTTAGAAATCGAAACTCATGTAAAATTCTCAAAAAAAGTGAGTGCAGTGCAAATTCTGTTGATTAAAATGTGAAAAAAAGGTAAAAAAACCTTTACAAATGGAAACATTCAGAGATTGTAGTGCGCTGAATAATTGTTCAAAGAGCGAACCAAATATGTTTTTATAGGTTTTGCGATGTGCTCTTTCATCTGGACAGATAAAAAAACATTTTCGCGCAAAAAAGTTTTTTTGGTCGTAAAACCGGGTTTTCTAGAAACCGGGGCACTGAAGGCCTATCCGCCCAAACCATTGTGATATTCTGGATCAGCATGGTCGATTACCTATAAATCACTAGGATTCGATCAAAAAGCGATTGAACAGTTGGTGACCTTCCCTCGTGAGAGGTGTGCTTATCCTGCTAGTTGCTCGAGTCCAGCTGTCGTATACTGAAGTTCATCGATTTCATACTGAAAGTGTTCCAATTTTTCAATTGTTGCGCCAACATTATTCGATGCAGCACGAACGAAGTTTGTAAATTCAGTAAACATAAGTATATTTCTTTGATGTTTGCGAATAGTATTTTCGTCTTTGCCGAAGAGCCTACGCCAAATCGTATTCCTCTCAAGTTCAGCAAAATCATCTTGAGTCAATTTTTTACCGCGTTATGTTATATGTTGAATATGATACAACGTCGCACTGATTCGATGAAGCGTTTCATAGGCTTTTTGCGCTTTGAGTGTAACACGCACAATTTCATTGTGCATCGACGAAATGTAGGCATCTAATGATTGTACAATGACAGTTGTTACCATTTGCGACAATTCCGCTTTGGAACTGCTTACTTTTAGAACTTCAATCTGTGGCGCGGTTGTCTTGAGATCCCGTAATACATACTCGGTTGATATTTGAAGATTTTCCAGTGCACCACTAAAAGAAATAATCATTTATGTCAGTTCATTACCACCTTGTTGAACAAGAGTTTGAAGTTCGTGAAATTTTGTACTTAATTGTGTTTTTATTTGAGGATCACTATCACTACTGTCAACAGAAGATCGAAGCTCAATAATGTCCGTTTTTGCATGAACAAATTGAAGTGGTGCACTCATTTCCCTGGTGGTTAGAAGAAACTCAGCCAAGCTAGTCGTTTTTTCGGCGACAATGTTGATGGGAGGTAGAACTATATCTTTCTGATGATGAAGTGATTTGAGACAAGGATAATGCATCATTGGTATAAATCGTACTAACCATAAACAGACGAACATTGTGTAGAGACAATAGCAAGCTTATGCAACGATAGTGATGACTATGATAATGCTTATGCTAATCATGAAGATAGGTTTAACGAAACGTGCCGTGATGCTGCATGTTCAACAGAACGCGGTCTTCTCCTATAAATAGGAAATCAAAAAGCCGTGATTTAAATTCATATGAGTAAAGCAATCGATTTTGCTCATTTTCCCATCTTCCATTGATTGAAACAATTCCGATGTCTCAATATTTCAAACTCTGAGAAATGAGAATCGCTTTAAGCTGTCTCATATATTCAGGAGTAACTCATTTTCGTGAAGCTGTTCAGCCTGACAAATTAAAGTGGATATGTTGAGGTTTGTTTGAAGCAAAATATTTTGCAATCACCTTCACAAGACAGAATTTGATGATAACTGCTTTTTGTGTTCAATAAATCAGGGTGTGTATGTTGCTATGAGGCTTGGGCGTCGATAGGGCTCTTAACATCGAATTACGGCCACAGGGAGGTTGCAAAAACTTTAAATGGCAATTCTACGTTTACGAGATGAACATAACATTGCAATAGTCTGAGCTTTTGGACTTTTCAAAAACAAATCATTAGAGGTTAAACTGTGGATTAACAGATTTTTCTTCGTATGGATTCCTGCGTAAGTACTTGAATCCGAAATTAAAAAAAACAAATTTTCAATCTTTCTTCTTAAAAAAGTTGGGAAATTAATTGATTATCAAATAGGTCACTTTTACCTCGGACAAAAATATGTAGCTCCCCCAGACAACAGAACTCGATAAAGTCTATCATTAGTAAAAAAAAGTGAGAGCTTCCTATGGTTTGTTTAACCAATGCAGCTAATCAAGATTTCGTGATACTTTCCTTCGAAGGAAACCTATAATATGCCTCTTCTAGTATCGAGCCGTTTTGCTCATCTCATTGACGAAAAAAACTTGTGTTTTTGAACACGATCATGTAATTAACTGATAATTATGCCTTGGAAGCTTGAAGTCGAAATTTTCCACAGTTGAAATTCACGGACTACATTGCTATAAAGAATAATAAGAAGAACTTAGTAAAAAGGTTGCTATTGAAAGCATGAGTTTCTGTTTCGACTTATGCGCCTCATAAACTCATCAAATTCCGTGAAACATTTCAGAAAATGTCCAACGCACTGCTTTCTATGAAATATCAAAAATCTTTCAAATGAATGACTTTCAAATGTTAACATGTGTCTAATTTTTTCTGAAAGTAAGTCGTAAAATGGAAATCCTTACTTTTCAATGTACTTTTCTGAAAATGCCAGATCTATTCCATTATCGATGACTCTTGCTCATCATAGAAAGTGTCAGACCGATCTGTCCGCACCGGATCAATTGAGACTTGGGAAGCGATGATAGGAGGGCTCAATATGCAATAAAAATAGACATATTGAGAAGTCCAAAAGTTTCATCGCTTGTCTAGTTGTAATCGTTCCAAAAGACGTTTTTCGAACATCTTTAACTGAGAACAGAGTAGAGGCTTGCGCTCCAAAGTTCTGCCTCCTGATTGTTCTGAGTAAAACAGAACCTCATGTATACTCGCGAAAAACCTATAAAATTCCGCTTTTTCCTTCTCTTTTTTATTCACAGATTATCGTACAGAGAATTTCTGTCTAATATTGGCGATAGTATTTGCGAACATTTTTGTATTCTGAATCTTTTTATTCTTAATTTTTTATCTTTCCGAAACCAAAGGCCTGTTTTTCGAAGGCTAGTATGATGTCAATTCTTGTTTCTTGATAATGAGAAATAGTCGAGTTTATTGTTGATCCTCTTAGATATTTACGTGTATCAACGTCAATTTCTGCTATTTCATACGTACCAGTAGGTCGTCGATGAACAACTTGTGTCTCATGCTCATTATTTTCGGTGCTCGTCGAGTTCGATGGATTTCATTGTTCTTGATCAGACATTTCTTTGAGTGTCATCTAGAACAATAGAACTGTAAACAGTAATGAGGAGTGACTCACTCACGCGAGTCGTCGATCGAACTGATATTTAGTCAGTAACTGGAACTTAATGAGATCGATAATATCCTAGAAGAATTCATCTTCACGCACTATGTTTCTCGCGTGCTAACAGTTTTACAGTATTGTCGATCTCTTGCAAAGCATCTATTGAACAAACGAATGATAGAAATTTGATCTAAAATGTTGCCCTCAAGTGGTCGTCGTAACACTTCGAATTGCCTTAAAATTTCAGTCAGCAAGAAAACTTTCTTCTCCAGGTTTTGAATGCTGAAGAAACTCGATTTTCTTACCTTTGCTTCGCGCATATCATCAATTTTGAACATTCAATATCGTGAGAGAAAGTACTCTGTGTTGACTGAAATTTTTTTAACGGTTTTTCATTGAGCAAGTGAACTTGTTTGGGGCGAAAATGCAGATCGAACATGCTGCAAAATGGTTATAAATCACAATTCACAGCTCACCAAAATGAGTTCTTTTAGAATTGTAGTCGTCTCATTGGGTTCTAATTACCCGAACAATATTAGCTCGATCGTTGAATAGTATGTCACTATACGTTGATACGGAGAATCATAGTTTATTCACATGTAAAAACGCTTTTTCAAACATTCTTCTTCACGTCTTCCATAAAACCCGCAAACTTCTATACATATAGATGTAGTGATGAGGTAACTCGGATTTTTCATGCTAGGAGAATACCAAGCGAAAACCCGCAACGGAATTTTCCAACGGCGAAGAAATGCCGCGGAAATATACATGAGGTTACAGAAAGGAAGAAACAATACAAAGTGTCTCATCTGCACATAAGATAAGAGAAACAGCACATCATATGGAAAGATGACGTGCGATAGTAAAACAAAGGGTAGAAAAGGCGAAATATCCAATTAGTGGATGAGTTATCAAGCTGAAGAAAAGTATGCGCAACGAAAGACAAAGAAACAGAACAAAAGAGAACGTCTGCTTTTGTATACTATGACTTTAAGACAGAGAGCAAATAACAAGCACTACGTCTCCAACCTAGTATCTCATATCGCCCACCCAGTGTAGTGAAACATGATATAGGATGTGGATGTGAAGGCTGTTGTTTGTCTTCTTTCACCGGCGCCCGCAGCCACATTGCAGTCACCACAAACCTACGGGGTTACAATACTGAGATCCACACCCAGATCGAAATCCATATTCATATCCAAACCTATACCCATACCTTTGTATATGAGATCAGTATATTTGCCACTGATAGCCATGCATGGGTACTTGAGTTGGATTAGCCTAAATATTTGCTTAATTCAGGTTCTTTCTGTAGAGGAGTTGCTTTCTCATGATAAGTTAAGTTCGATAAACATCTGATAAGTGATTTATGCATAAGGATTTATGAATCATGCGTTTGATCCGTCAAGTGAAAGATTAAATCTTACTTATTCGCGAACAAAATAGCTATGCAACGTCTCAGACTAGTCTCGTTGATTCTATTGTTAAGCAGTGTTCTGGTGTTTGGGTACGATATTGATGCTGCTTTGACTCGTGGGTTGATTGGCAGTATTTCAACGAATGGGCAAGCAGTTATTTCTAACACACGTGCTCTCAGTGATTATGCCGAGGATTGTGCAGACGTTTACTATATAGAGAAGAATCTTCGCAATAGCCAATCGAAAAGTGGTATTTATGAGATCTGACCTCGACAAGGTATTTTTATTCTCTTTTTGTTTCTCAAAAGTCAATTGTGCAATGTTTTGAGTAGGAAAGCCAATAAAAGTTTTCTGCGATATGGAGACGGATGGTGGTGGATGGACAGTTTTTCAGAAACGAGGTGATTATGTACCGCAAGAAGATTTCTATCGAACGTGGCTCGAATACAAGCGTGGCTTTGGCGATCTTCAACGACAGTTCTGGTTGGGAAACGATCGCTTGTCAATGCTCACTAATCAAGACTCATACCGACTGAGAGTTGATCTCGAAGACTTTGATGGACAAAAACGATTTGCTGAATATTCCTCTGTGCGGATTGGAAATGAAGCAGACAACTATCGATTGACGCTAGGCTCTTTTCTCAAGGGCAATGCAGGGGATTCGTTGAGTTCTCAGAACGGAATGCAGTTCTCCACCAAGGATAAAGACAATGATCGAAGTTCTAGTTCATGTGCACAAGTGTATAACGGAGCCTGGTGGTACAATGCCTGTCATGAGGCCAATTTGAATGGAGGATATCTACGTGGTCACCATTTGACAGTACATGCGGCCGGTGTCAATTGATATACCTTTCGAGGACACTATTACTCACTGAAGACAACAGAGATGAAGATCAGACCAGTTTGGTTCAAACCATGAAATTGTTGTTGCTATTTTATTTCTACCCAAGAATAAAACCGGAGTACTTGAATAGAGATCTTGCCATTACTCATATCTCGCCTGAGTTCACAGCCGATGATTCATAATTTTAGTGAGATAAAGATGATAATAGTCATGACCTGAGCAAGGATTGATTGAAAACTTTTTGTGTCAGGATGAGGATGAGGCTATTTGTCTATGTTGAGAGCGGGTGTTATTGTATGTAAAGAGAAGACAGCCTCGTCCATTGGCACCCACACCCAACATATTTTAAGTACACCAAAATCCACTCAGTTTGATATGCTGATTCTCAAAATCATGTTAGTTTTCATCAAAATTTGAATTGTCTTATCGAAATCTGCCGAATGTCGCTAACAAAGGCTCACAACCTATCGGGAACAGTTTCCTCAGGATATATTAATGCCGTCAGTATTTTTTCCTCGATATTTGTACACCATTTTGAAGCGTTTGGAAACTGCTATTGAACAATGTTAAAATAGCCTGAGTGCTTGTGAGATGGGTAGATAAAAAGAGCTTAATGTCATCAACAGTCAGGCTCAATATACATATGACTACTATCAACTATCGTGATCAACGTGCGCGCAGTACACATAAGTGATGTATGAGTAATTCTACGAAGGCTCACTTTCGAACACCTTGTAGGACAGTTTGACATAGAAGAAATCAAATTT